GTTGCAGACTCTCAGGTCTGTGGGGAGCTGAAGGCAATATTTTCCTCCTCTGATTTAAAAGAAGTGCATTTTGAAATAGTGCTGCCTTCAGCTATTCCAGTGAAATAAGGAGCTAATTACTACTTTTAAAAATATGTATGTAATTAGCATAGTTAGGAAATAATTGCAACGACCTGTATTGGTAAGAGGATATTCCTAATGTCTTGCATTAGTAACAAGGCCAGTCTTAATCCTCAGCATTCAGGGAGTCTGCAGCTATCTCCTTGCTCCCTCCTACCTACCTGCCAAAGACAGTGATAGGTACAAGCCCTGATGTTTAATAAAGATGGAGCTGAACCTTATCAACCATGAGTGAGAAAATCAATCAACTGCCCAACATTCTGGAAACTTACCGAAATCTACCACCACACGATATAAAAATCTATTTCTTTTCTTTCTTTGTTTGAGACAGTCTCACTATGTCACCCTGGGTAGAGTGCCATGGCATCACAGCTCATAGCAACCTCCAACTCTTGGGCTTAAGCGATTCTCTTGCTCAGCCTCCAGAGTAGCTGAGACGAAAGGCACCCACCACGATGTCTGCCTTTTTTTTTTTTTTACTTGCTTTTGCTCAGGCTGGTCTCAAACTCCTGAGCTCAAGCAATCCTCCCGCCTTGGCTTCCCAGAGTGCTAGGATTGCAGGCGTGAGCCACGACTCACAGCCTTACTTTGTGTACTCGTATGTCAGACTTTTACTTCATTTACAAATCTAATCCTCTCTTCCCTGATAAGGTAATGAATATGTTCCAAAAAGTATTTAATGCTGAATTGTCTAATAGGTGAGGATTATAAAAACTGGCTGGTCTGCCCAAGACAGCCCCGATTTATGCCTGTCACCTCAACATCCTCTTGCACTGCCAAGTGCCCTGGTTTGCATATATGGTCACCCTACACATCATACCCAGTTTTTCTCATCCGCCAACTCATTTCCAATTTTAACCAAGTTTATTTTTTAAAGTATAGAATTATAGATTAAATGGGAAAGAACCAAAGACGGCATCTAGTCCTATTTCACACTGACAAAAATCCTTCCCAGGATTCAGCCTTTATCTGAGCTTTCTGAAAGCAATTTATTACCTTTTGAGGTGGTTATTTTTCACTATTAGGCATCTCTAAATTAAAAAAAAAAAGTCCTTATCTATAGCCCTAATTTTATCCTCCTTCCTCCAGTGTAAAACTGATAGGATATAGCTTGGGATTCCTTTCTCAACCAGGGGCTTTTATAATGCCCAGGCTAAGGCATTCATGGCATATTATGAACTTTTTAAGATATTTAAAACAGTATTGGCTATAGGTTACCCTTGTGAAAACTGAGAAAATAGTCACTTAAATCATTTTTGTGTTCAGATAAGGAACCTCTTTTGAAAAGGCTACAAAGCTCTATCATTTACTGGCTGTATGACTTTTGTTAAATTTACTTTGTCTCTTTCAGGCCAAGTTTCTAAGCAATAAAATCAAAACATAATACCTTTCTTGTAGGTTCCTGTGAGAATTAACACATATAAGGCTCCATAGGAGTGGAGACCTTATTTATCATGTTTACTACCTTATTCTAAAAGCTTAATGAAGGTCGTAGATGAGGGTCTAACAAATCTATACTGTGTGGTGTCTGGCAATTTTGCTTTCTCTGAATAAACATTTCAAGAAAGTCTAAACACACAAAAGTCCACTGGGAAAAAGCTAGTTTAACTGCCTACAATAAGAAGTGACACTTAACAAAATGCACTAATTGGCAGTGCCTGTAGCTCAGTGGGTAGGGCGCTGGCCACATACGGTACATTGAGGCTGGCAGGTTCAAACCAGGCCTGGGCCAGCTAAAACAATGATAACTACAACAACAACAACAAAAAAATAGCCAGGCGTTATGGTGGGCACCTGTACTCCCAGCTACTAGGGAGACTGAGGCAAAAGAATTGCTTAAGCCCCAGAGTTTGAGTTTGCTGTGAGCTCAAACAAGGGCGACATAGTGAGACTCTTGTTTCAAAAAACAAAAAACACTTTCCTTCCAAACCACCCCTTAACCTCAGGGAATGTACAGTTAAGAGAACAAAATTATCAGCAAATAAGGAGTGATCAGCTATGTAGGAGAATCAGGTTAGGGCAGAATTATAGAAAGCTACTGCAACCAGTACTTTTTATTACTGTAAATAATGAACAGCCTCCTTGATGAATGAATACACTCCTTGATAGCAGGGTTGTGTTGTTTTCCCACCAGGTTAAGAAGATCCCCAAATATTGTTTAATAGTTGAATAAGAAATTTTAAGGAAGATGCTACAGTGAGTAGATAAACAGCTTTCTGAAAGGAGACTGACTAATGTTTCCACCAACATATTTGGAAGCAAATCCAGATAGAAGCTGGGATAGAGTGGAAATAGGAAAATTACAAATATAAGGTAAAAATTTATTTAGAGCTTTTAGCAAAGAAAAGAATGTAGAGAGTTTAATAATTTGAAAGAACAGTAAGGTTTCAGGTTTTTCTTTCTTGTTTTTAGTGGTGGAAATTGGAATTTGTTGATATTCTTGAAAAAAGGTGAAGAGGGATTATGTAGATGTATCGCTGGGTAAAAGATGGAATAAGCCAGTGTAATAAAAAGGAGCACTTCTTTTCACCAATAGATTGTAAAGTGAGAGTCTGAGATATACAGGGAAACAGTTAATGAAGCTGGAATTACAAGTATCAAGGTAAGAGTAGGCTGGGGAAGGATTTTTAGGCCGGGTGTGGTGGCTCACGCCTGCAATCCTAGCACTCTGGGAGGCTGAGGCGGGTGGATTGCCTTGAGCTCATAGGTTCCTAACCAGCCTGAGCCAGAGTGAAGACCCCATCTCTACAAAAAAAAAAAAAAAAGTCAGGCGTTGTGGCAGGTGCCTGTAGTCCCAGCTACTTGGGAGGCTGGGGCAAGAGAATCGCTTAAGCCCAAGAGTTGGAGGTTGCTGTGAGGTATGATGCCATGGCACTCTACCAAGGCCCACAAAGTGAGACTTGTCTCAATAAAAATTAAGAAAAACTTGAGGAAATTAGGATAAATTTGGATCCCTTGTTGTAAAGATATTATTAATAAAAGGTGAATGAAAAGATTGGTAACCTCTAGAGAGATTTGTAACTCTAGGGAGGGTGATCCCATCAACTCAGCTTGGTGACTACTTAAGAAAATCCCTTCTACCTCTTTTCTGATCCACTCATTTGGACGCCTAAAACCGCCTGAACTAATCAACGGTAAAATTCCCCTTTGCGCTCAGATATATTCAACAGAACTTCTATGTATTATCGGCAACAACAACAAAAAAATCCTACTAAAAATAAGACTGCAGTTACACCAAGAAAGGATTTTAGAAAGGCCTTGTTCAAAAGCTAATTGAGGGGTGGAGAGAAGCGGTCCTTTCAGACCGAAATGCGAGCTGCGATGACTCCCCCCAGGGCGACCAGGCGCTGCTGCAGCACACTGCGCAGGAGATCCAGCTTGACCCCGGGGACCGGGTACGGCGAGAATCGGGCCTGACGGCTGCGGTTCCGACTGTCTAGTTCCCTCCCCTTCTTAAGGCGGGTCGGGCTCCAGCCGCCACCGGTCACTCGGCGACTCTCGATTCGAACGCTGGGTCGCACCGCCGGCCGCGGTCCCAGGTGAATCGTCTCGGGCCTGGCAACCAGCACACTGTCTCCAGAGACCATCGCCAGGGCCGAGGCCGATGGGCTGAGGTTTGGGTCGCCGTGGGAAGAGCGGTAGGTCCCCCTGTTCCCTTGATCGCCGGCAGACAGGGGCACGTTGTTCTGGGCCATCTTCAAACACTGCCCGCAGTACTCGTGTTACGTCCCGCGGTCAAAGTAGGCCCTTCAGGGCTCCACAGATCAGTCCTGCCCGTCTCCGAAGCGCTCACCACCCGCTCCAGAAGCCATAACTAACGCGGCGGCAGGTCGAGAAGCCGCCTTCGACGAACGCTCTGGTCGCGAGCATGCGCAGTCCGTCTAAGCACGTCGACGCGGACCGAGAGCGTGCGTGAAAGACGTTTACGTCGGTGACGCCTAGGAGCGTGAGGACGTAGGGGTTTCCGAGACTGCGCACTGTGCGCGTCGGCGGTGACACTTCGGCCGGGCTGGGGAAGGGAAGACGCTGAGATGGGGGCGGCGGCGGCGGAAGCGGACCGCACTCTCTTTGTGGGCAACCTGGAAACTAAAGTGACAGAGGAGCTGCTTTTCGAGCTTTTCCACCAGGTAAGCACCTGGCATCAGCCCTTTTGCCTTTGGTTTTACAGTTTCCCCAAGGCCGGGCCCAACTGCTGCCCCGCTTTCTTGGCGCGAGCTTGGCAGTCAGTCCGGGCTCCTGGCTGGTCGGCTGCGTCGGGGTGAAGGGCGCGCTTGGGGGGTGAGAGGCTCGCTGGGTTTCGCTTTTTTAGAATAATCCTGATTAGCTGAGTTCAGAAGTGGCGACGCTGAGGGGTGGTAGAGGGATCCCCTATCAAGCATTCCCGGGATCAGGATTCAGGGTCCTATGAGATAGCCTGTGAGTCTTCGTTGAGCAGCGCTTCCTCTTATGATAATGTCTTTTATTTGTCGCGGAAATGTATTTAAATATTTTTGGTCAGTATCTGTTTTACCCTTGATTTGCTTGTAATACTGTGGCATTATTGTTAAAATATTTAAAAGGGAGTCCAATACGCCGTAGAAAGGCAGCATTTTAATGTTTTTCTATTAAAACGCGGGAAAAATTCTAAGTACTGTGTCTTGTCTCCCCAGTTCTGTACCCTAACAACTGGTATTGTGTTATTAGTCACACAAAAGTGAATTTTTAATATGAGAAAGTCGTTGTCTTGCTCTTGTGAAACGTTCTCTTCCATGGAGTGGGAAAATGATGGGTATTTGTCACTTGGTAGAGAAGTCATGCGATGCTGTGAGTTGTGAAAGTGATTGTGATTCCGGTTCCTTGTGGGCTCCCCCCCCCCAATAAGTTAAATCTAATTTTCAATCATACCTAATGTTTTTACTGTAACCAAAATGGAAATCTCTGTGCATCATTAAAAAAAAATCGTTTCTGATTACATTTCTGTCTTTTAACTTTGTAGTCTCTTTTGTTGGTAAAATGTGAGTGTTTTCCTAAAAATGCCTTATTTAAATTCTAAACACTTGTTTGTAGGCTGGGCCAGTAATAAAAGTGAAAATTCCGAAAGATAAAGATGGTAAACCAAAGCAATTTGCATTTGTGAATTTCAAACATGAAGTGTCTGTTCCTTATGCGATGAATCTGCTTAATGGGATCAAGCTTTTTGGAAGGCCCATCAAAATTCAGTTTAGATCAGGTAACTGTTAAATGATGTTTGAGGGGAGCAGGTCGTTTGCTGCTTTGTTTATTGTTTTTAAATTTATTGTTTAGAATTTGTTTTTTGGTTAAATACTTTGTTAAGCTTTCTAAATAGGGAATATTATATGTCCCTGAAAATGAGTAATATTGACACATGGGTTTTGAAGATTATAATTTTAAAACTGAGTTTGAAATTTCATTTTGGGTTCGTGAAAAGAGCATAAAGCATATGGCGCTAAGAGTTGGGTTTGGGACCTCTGAAAGAAGCCAGGATTAATTCTGAAAATACTTCTCTCAGCTGCTTCATAATTTATTTTTACATTATTTTGATTTTTGATCATGTGAGGACAAATGTTTGCATGTATCCAGTCTTAGACTTTAGTGTGGGGATCAGAATATTATGACTCCAAACAAGAGTACCTTGTTTGGAATGCTTGGTTTTACATATGTGGTATTATACACTTAGCGTTTCACTCTGAAATTGTAAAGCAGTCTATAGCAATTGGAGATTTTTCTCTTTTAGACTGTGTTTACTTTTTTGGAGCGATTTAGGGCATGGGAGACAAAATTTCAAATTGAGTTTTCTATCAAGAAGAATATTTCAAATTATTTCATTTTAGGAAGTAGTCATGCCTCGCAGGATGTCAGTTTGTCATATCCCCAGCATCATGTTGGAAATTCAAGTCCTACTTCCACATCTCCTAGCAGGTAGTAGTATTTCTTACATGTTAAAATGATTTATCAGGAATTTTCTTGGATAATGGTCTCAAAACTCATGAATGAATACTTTTTTCTTTATGTTCTTCTGTGTTGGATTATTGTTATGAATCTATTTTAAGGGTACTGTAGACACATTGCATATAATCCTCTTAAGGTAGGTGCATATATAATTATAAATTCATTTATAAAGTGTACCCATGCTTACATATACTCATACAATACATCTGTGCAATTGAAACAGTTTCTCAAAACATTACCCTTACTACTTTTTATCAGTCATATGGGGCTTTATTCAAGAAAGATTTAACAAATACTGATTGGGTGGTGTCAGGTTCTTCACCACCAAATCTCTTATATATATGATCTAATTTATTCCTCACAGTGGTTTTATGAGGATGGGGATTATTATCTTTACCTTGTATGTGAAGGAACTGAGGAATAGAGGTTAACTTAGTTATGAACTGCTTATAAGTAATGGGCTGGTATTCAAACCCAGGCAGTGTGATTGAACCCAGCTATTATGATATGCCTAGTAGAGCTTAAAGACTAGATGAAGACACATATTTTTGTGACAGTCTATTTAATTACTCTAGAGAGCTTATCATTTTTATACTCATTTGTAATATAAATTTAATTATACTTCCCCCTTTGTGTAAAGATACATAACCTGATTTAAGAAAACCCAAAATAAAAAGATCCATACCTTGAGACAAACCATTGGTTATTTGATTCCAAAGATGTTTTTAAATAATGCAAACAGTTTTTTTGAAGTTCTGTTTTTGTGTGTTTGTTTGTTTTTTTGAGACATAGAGTGTCACTCTGTTGCTTTGAGTAGAATGCTATGGTATCATAGCTCACAGTAACCTCAAACTCTTGGGGTCAGCTGATCCTCTTTCATCAGCCTCCTGAGTAGCTGGGACAACAGGGGCCACAAGTTCAGATAATTTTTTTCTGGTTTTAATAGAAACGGGGTCTCAGGGTCTCAGGGTCTCCCTGTTGCTCAAGCTGGTCTCAAACTCCTGAGCTCAAGCAATCCACCTGCCTTGGCCTTCCAGAGTGCTAGGAATTTCAACATTTTTCAACTGAGTTTTTTGTAGAGTGGGTTTCCTTTTTAGGGAGTAAGGAGTAAGGTATAAATCCTTAAAAGTAATGTTCTGTGTATGTCACAGAGTTCTTTAATTCCTTACCTCCCCAAATTTGTTTCTCTTTTTTGTCTCAGTAAATGTCTACCTAATTGCTCAAGCCAGAAATCTAGTTTTCATACTTTATTATGTGTTTCCCTTGTCCTGCATATCTGATCTATCAAATTATTTTCATTTTAGTTGTAATCTAAGTCTTTGTACTAGTTCAGGGATTGACAGATTTTTGTATAAAGGGACATATAGTTAATATTTTAGACTTTGCAGGCTGTATAGTCTCTCTCTCTGCCATTGCTGCACTAAAGTAGCCATAGATGATTAAAAAAAAAAAAAAAAGAATATGGCTATGTTCTAGTAAAACTTTGTTTAGGAAAGCAGAATTCGTAAGTTTGGCCTGTAGGCTCTAGTTGTTCATTCCCTGTCCTACCCCTCCTCTCAGCTGAGAAGGTTTTGCCTCTAGATAGTATTGGTATTTAGCTCTCCCTTCAATTGTATCCTTTTTTTGAAAGATAGTTCCTGACTAGCCAAGGCAAAATAGAACCTATCTCTTTTCACCTTTACTGTTCTTGAATCATACTTGTCATTTATTATAATCTTGTAATTGTGTGAAAATATCCTGTTGTCTGTATTCTTACCCTAGCTCCATGAGAGGGATACCTTCTCTATCTTAAGTACTCACCTTAAGTACTATGTCTTGCTAATGATTGGTATTTAGTAAATATTTATTGAATGACTGATTATATGGTGGTTTTCTTATTTTTAGCAGATATGAAAGGACTGTGGACATGACTCCATCATCACAGATAATTCAGAGGTCTTTCTCTTCTCCAGAAAATTTTCAGAGACAAGCAGTGGTAGGCTGATTTATTTTTTTCACTTGAGTTACTAAAAATAAAATCTTACTTAGTTAAAATGTTCATGTTATCAAATGACTGGGTTTCAATTAAGTTTGCTAGGTAGGAGGTTTTTTCCTTAAGTGTTTAAGATATAAATCAACTTTTTAAATTCAATTTTCTTTTTTCCTTTGATATAGGGTCTCACTCTGTTGCCCAGGCTGGAGTGTAGTGGCATCATGAAAGCTTGCTGCAACCTCAAACTTCTGAGCTCAAGCACTTACCCAGCTTAGCCTCCAGGATAGATGGGACTACAAGTTCATGCCATCATGCCTGGCTAATTTTTCTATTTTTTATAGAAACAAGGTCTTGTTTTTGCTTAGGCTGGTCTTAAACTCTTGACCTCCCAAAGTGCTGCGATTATAGGTGTGAGTTACTGCACTTGGCCTTAAATTTCATTCTTAAATTAACTTCTTCTCAAATTTTTGTTAGACAA